TATGTTGAAAATTTATGTTTTTCAGCAACCCATTACATTTACAGACCCATCGATTGAAAGGCTTTAGTCTCTGGCTTTTATGTCCAATATCTGGGCTTCTGGTCACCAATGTATTTTCCAAGTTTTTTCTCTTTTTTTTTTACCTAATTGGCGTATGAATTGGATAACCTGTACATAATTTACATATGGCTTTCAAAACTTTGGTCCAGATCAATGATTTTGTAGTTGAAGTGATTAATATATAGAACTTTTTTTTNAACTTTTCTTTAATATTTTGAAATGTTAAAATTAAAATATTAATATTTAATTAATAATTAAAATTATAATATGAAACATTAAAATACTTTTTTTTAATATAATGCTTGATAAAAAATTTTTGAAAAAGTATATACACTGCTTTAGGGTGATTTCTCTGTTTGGAGAGATATCTTAATTCATGCTAAAATAACTAATTTCAGTAATACTTCAATTGTTTCTTTTTCAAGCACAGCTCCTTTTTACAGTTTTCTGTGTTTGTAAAAATGTTAGGAAAAAATGTTAGCATATGCATAGTTAAGACATTTCTGAATGTTTTCTTTCGTTTAGAAGTTTTTTATTCTTTTAATGGGATTATATATTTATTTTGATGGATGCAAAATGAATAAAAGTAAGATATTTAAAGTCAGTAGCATGAATATTTAGCCACACAGTAAAAATAAGCACTTAATAATTTTTTTTTAGGAAACAAATGTTGGAAAATTTATGACAAGATAAACCTGAATGAGCTTCAGACAAATTTATGATTAAAGTTTTTAAAAATTTTAAATCAGCCACCCAATCTGTATTTGAAAGTTATATAAATTGTATTTTTTATTTTTAAGGTGGGAGAAAGTTATTTATATTAATTCAATATAAAGAATTTGCAAATTTATTATTATTAATTTTTTAATGCTTATTATTGTTTTGAATTATTGTTTGAATTTTTATTATTGTTTGTATTATATATACTTATTCTATTGCACAATTTGTCCCTGCCTTTTTAAATTTCTAAGACTGGTAAGACTGAGCTTAAAAAATATAAATATATTCTAATTTTTATTAATCTTTTTAATTTATTTAGTCCTTTAACTTGAAACACATTTTTGCTCATTCAGTTAACAATAGAAAATCTTAACTGTAGCTGATATTTCCGTTTCTTTATTTTATTTTTCATGAATAATTTACACCATATCTAAAAGACTGGTGTTCAATTAAACTATATTTCCATTAAATGATAAAGATAACTCTGCCTTATGTTTTTGCTATATTGTACATATTTTCTTCTTTTTATATTTTTATGTAAATGTAAAAAGATTGAAATTCATTTAAAACAATTTTGTAGATATTTAATTATAATTAATATTATAAATAATAATTATAATTAATATTATTAATATTATAAATTTGATATCTTAGTTAAATTTTACCATTTGAAATAAATTTTACATAATTAAGCAAAATACTTGATAATTTTTGTTCCTATTTCTATTTTGCTTTCATATAACCTTTCCTAAACAATCAGGAAATCTTTTGATTTTTTTCAAAGTATTCTTAAATTTATTTAAATTTCTTTCCTGCTCATTTGATTTAACTAATTTTTTTAGATACTTCATCCTGGAGACTTGAAGGTTTCAGTAGAAACTTATTTGAATAGATTACTTGATCCAATTCGAAAAAAGTTTGAAGATCCAGCACTTCAAAAGTTATCTACAACCGCCTACCCACCAGTTAATAAAAGTAAGACAGTGAATAAGAATATTTAGAAATATATTCTATCTTTACATGTATGATATAAATTTCAATGATATATTCTGTTTAACTCTTTTTATTTGAAATTATTTTCAAATCGTCACTCTTAAAAAAATGTTTGTTTTTTTTAGTTATAATTTGATATTCTTTTATTGATATTAGTTTTAGGTCAATAACATCAATACTATTTTATAACTCTTAAGGTCATTGTTACTTTTTTTACATCATTAAATTTATGTTTTAAATTTAATAATTTTTATTTTAGGTAATAAAAATTTAATTTTGATACATTTGTTTTCTTAGTAAATTAATATTTTCCCAAAACCTAATCAATCATTTATTGAATTGAATTTTTCTGGATGAAATTACTTTTAAAATTATAGTGTTATTAAAAAACTTTTTTTTACACTTTCATCAAAAAGAGGACTCATAACACAAAAGTTTTTCATCAAGTACATTATTTGTAAGTTTTTTAAAGCAAATAAAACTTGATGAGCAAATATTTATTGGTTTAAGACTTTTTTTAGTGCCATTAATTCAGTTTCTGTATTGCAGAAAATGTGAATCTAGTATAGCAGCTGGATCTGTTAATATCTAGTTTAAAACTCAATAAAATATCTGCAACATATAGGGTAAAAGAAATAAATTATGTCATATTACTTTCATAATACTTGGCTTTTCTATTATCATATTTTTATTTTACTAGTTCATTTTTTTTCTCTATCACTCTGTCTGTTTTAATTTATTCTTCTAGGCATCAGTTTCATTTTGTTAATTTAGATACAGGTAAAATGTAATTCAATATTTAGATAAGTTATGAAATACTGAACTAAAATTTTATTTTCAAACAAGATTTGTGGAATTAAACAAAATTTATATACTAAATTTGCTTTGAAAGAACTTTCCATTTTCTTAAACTATAGATATAAAACACTGTACAGAGTATTTTATATCAGATATATATAGTTGTATGTCTATAAGTTGTATACAGGCCGGGATAGCCTGGTTGGTAGGGCGCTTGACCTATGTCCTAGAGCTCGTGGGTTCGATCCCCGCTGGCCTAAAGACTCCCTGTGTAGTAAATGGTGACTGATGCATGATAAATACGTCGAGTCGCAAAGTCATCCATGCTCCCTTAACAAATCAATACCTTTAGGGCAGGGATGGCGAACCAATGGCCCGCGTGCCATTTATGGCACCCTACAAAATATTTCGACTACTATTGAATATCACGCCTACTAAATATTGAATATCACGTCAACGACCTCATCAAACAATTTTTTAGAAAAAATGGCACGTTGGTGTATAAAGGTTCACCATCCCTGCTCTAGGGATACTGATCCAGGAGTTTCAAATAAATCAAAACTAGGCATTTCTTAGAAATTAATTTAAATGTTATCTAGGTTTAGTTTAGCTAATAATTAAAAATATTCTAAACAGATGGAGGGTAGGTAGGGTGTAATTGCACAAGGCCAGTGGTTCTTAGGAAGGAGCCATTGGACTTATGAAAGAAAACTCAACCCAACAGATTAAAATTAATGCACACAATGGTCAATATTGACAGGTAAAAAGGGAAAAAACGATAAAAAACAATTCTTATCTAAAGGTTTTATAACAATCTGACAAATTGAATTAATCTTAAAAATGATAAGAACACCATAGTCACGCAATAAAAGAATTGATTATTTATGCAATTATTATTTCAAGAAAAATCATTCTTATTACAAACCTTTCGAATTTGAACTATTTTTCCTACTCTCATGTCTAGTCTTGCAGGGGACATAGGGGTATCAGTGGTGACACTTTTTCCTTCTGAAAGCATACAGAAAAAATACTACTCATAAAATAAATCACATTTGAAATATTCAAACTAAATAATACAAAGAAATAAATACCTTTTTTCATTATTGCAAGCATGAACAAAAAACATAGCAGATATAAATGCAACATTTTTGATTACCTAATGCTAAATGTGCAAAAGTTTTTCTTGTTGAGTGTGCAAAATATAGTAAGCATGCTTTTAAGAAAGCCATTAGGTATTATCTTACAGGTAATTAAATATTGGTAAAAGACTTTTCTATTGTTATTTAAATGCATTCTTTCATTTTTAATATGAAATTTGTTAAATAACTTTTATACTATCAAATTAGGGTAAATTAAAAACTTGACTTTCTTTAAAGGCTTACAAAATATTATAAAAATGCATGAAATATATATATCATTTATTAACATCAAGTAATATACATTTACTAAATAAAAAAATACAAAAGATATCTATAAGATTTTTTTCAACCCGGCAAACATTTTGTAACCACTCAGCCACAAGATTCATAAAACTAAAGCATTCTATACAATTTAAAGAATGACAGCTCTGTATCAAATGTTTTATCCAGGGTAGAGTTTTGTTACTCTTATACCCATAAATTCATAAAAATGAAGAAATAAAAATACCCAGTATATAAGTAAGTAAAAATTCAACTAAAAATATGGTATTTTACCATAGCATTTCCATATTAATTTCATTAATTAACAATCATTCTTTTACAAAATAGTAACTCTTCATAACTACTTTACTAACTCAGGCTGACAAACAACACTCAGCTTCATTATTTAATATTAAAAACAACTTATATTCAAATTCTCTTTCTTAAATGTAATAATGCTAACAATAATACTCTTTCTCCAATCAAAGAACATTACTCAAAACTCCATCTACAAACTAAACTTTAATGATTAAATCTCTTCAGAACATGTTACAAGCAATACAAAACACCAATAAAACCTTAATTGCATAAATAATATTCTTATTACCACCTTCTTCATTATTTTTTTCCCTTTTGCTCAATCACAAATCTGTCAAATTCATCACCACAATTCAAAATATCCACTTCCAATGCAGCCTTGCCCACCTGAATATCTTCCTCTTCTCACCTTATCCTTCATTTCTTTTTTTTTCCATCTCTGCAAAAAGCTTAAAACATCAGATCAGTTATTGTCAGATTCGGTAATAATTAAAAATTTGTCAAAGAGAGCTGCAGAGCTAAAAAAAAAGCTGTTTTGAGTTTATTTAATTTTTCATGATGTTTTTTTTTAATTCTGTTCCAAATATTATTTTTAATCTTATTCCAGTTATCTATTAACCAAAAATTTAATTGTTTCTTTAACATTTCTTTAAATATACTTTTGTAAGTGGATAAATGAATGGATCCGCCTTATACGCAGGTGTGATGCATGGATGTGGCAGAAGTCGAATTCTTGGCCGTAGATGGCCCACTGAAAAACAAGAGCAATCGCATCACTGAGTGCCTTAATGGCACACGACAACAACATGGAATTTTTAAAAAAATTTACAATGAAAACTAATAAGAAGTGAATAATTCATTTGTTTTACCAGCATTAATTTTTTTAAACGCATATATGAGCCTTTAAATGCTCAAACTGTCATTCTTGTATCATGAAAATGATTTGTCATCTCCCACTGTTACATCTGATTTCCAATTGATGCTAGTGTTACCATTTTCCTATGTGATGTCATATTTTGTGTCATACAATGCATTTGTTATGTGAGATTTGTTTAAGACTATGTATTATAGTCTAAATGCAAGCTTTTTCCCACCTAACAGGTACCCATTCTGATTTTTTGACTCACAAATTTTTGTGCCTTCTATTCTAAGCTGCTGCTTCAAGTCGAATGTATAGGTACATAACTATAAAATTGACACTGAAAATGGTGACCCGTCCCGCGTGGTCTAACTGAAATTGCACTTCTGAACAAGAAGTCGCTGCATCGTAAATATATAGAATTACAGCAAATATGTACTCATAAATGCAGAACTTATTTTGACAAAAATATTCTTCTTCTATCTACTCCATTCTAAATTTTTAATTTATCTACTAAGCATATGATATTATGCTGATAATAATATATTTCCGCTACATAACATATGTCCAGAAAGCTCTTAAATCTGAACAAAAATAAAGTCGGGAAGAATACATGATTTATCTCCAAGATAAGTTATTCATTACAACACTTTTTAAAAAGATTAAGTACAATTTTTGAACAAGAAATATATGAAACATGAAAGAAATGTACTAATGTTATTAATGTATTGCTAGCAGAAAACTCCACATAATAATGCGTTACACATTTTTAATAATGAAGAGTAACTGATATTCCACCATCCTTTTTACCATAGATTACGTCTAGGTTAAGAAATGATGGTTCTTTCGCACTTTCATGTGGAATTCAAGATGCTCTATGTTCTTTGAGCACTAACCTCAAAAGAATAGGTGAACTCCCATGAAACTTTTGCTATCCATTGAATTTTCGCCTATGAAAAAATTTTTGTTTTGAAAGAGCAAAAATGCTTAACTCTTGTTTTTGATGTGATTTTCTTACATAAAATTAAACAAAGATTTCATGTTATATTGGAATGAACAATTCAATATTTATCAAAAGTAAGGTTAGCTTTCATATTGAAAATGTACCAAAATGTTGCGTGTATATGAAAACATGTGATATTTTTGTTGTATTTGAAAATATGATTTTTACTACTACTGAGCACTTTCATGTTTTCCTTAATTTTAAACCAAATGTTTGAAACAGCAAAAATTTTTAACACCTATATTTGATGTGATTTTCTTATAAAAAATGAAACAAAAATTTCATACAGTTCAATTCAGATTTTCTAACACACGTTAAAATAACATTGTGTCTATGAAATCGATGTATTGGTCGCAGTAATGACTGTATTTAATAATTATTGCCTTTATTCATTTACTGGTGTTTTCTAATCTTGTGTTGTATTGTTTTTAGAGGTGTTTGATAAGACATCTATTTCTGCAGAATCTTTTATCTTTTTTGAAAGAGAATTTATTCCCTTTATTGATGACATTGAAGCTAACTTTGAATGTGCACTTTGGTTAAGTGATGCTGATTACGTGAGTGCTCTACGGATTGTATGTATAACTTTCTTTTTTAAAACTGTTAATAATATAATTAAAAATTTTGAAAAATAGTGATCAAAGCTCTATATCTAATGTATCTTTCAGTTCACAAATTTTTGTGAGAGGGAATAATTACCCCCAAAATAATTCTTTTCTTAAAGACAAACACTCTGTTTTTATAGTTACTTTTGCTTAAATTTCAATGGAGGACCCATTAGCTTTTCCAAACTTTCTTCCACCAAATGTTACTCAATTAGAAAGTAATGCAAGAATTTCAATACCCAAAGGCTCTATGATTGAGACTTTCAATGTTCTATGTTCATTAACGAAATAATTTTGCAGAAACTTTCTTGTCAAATTCTTGTTTCTTAATCAATTTGTTTCCTGTTAAAAAAAAAATTTGCGACTGAAAGTCATGTGACATTTAATTTATTTGCAGTACTCCACTCCCTAATTTTAGAATCACTTGTTTCAGTTGAATTTTTTTTCTGTGCCATTTAATTTAGTTAAGAAAATCTCTGAGCAGTATAATAAAAAGTTTTTAAAGTCACGTATTAATATGTCTGAAGATATGCATTGCATTTTTCTTCCTTTTTAAAAATTTCAAATTGGTCATATAGTTATTAAATTTAATTTAATTGTTATTTTCTAAAGAAAAACTTATCTTGATCATAAAAAACTTATCTTGTCATATCAAATCATATCACAATCAAAACTTATCACAAAACTAATCACATAAAAATTTTAATTTCCTACAGCCATGTACTCTTTTGTCTGAAAACTAAATTATCTTTGCCTTTTTTAAAAAAAATTTCACAATATTTAAAGAACAACTAATCTTAATATTTACTTCATTTATTCATTTCTTTTTTTTTCGGGGGGGGGGGGGG